ATGTTTATTTTTTCAGTAGCAAAATGCAAGTCATCTACATCTTTCGAACTGCGTGCAAGCCTGTACCTTCTCTGGTTGGCATATTTTATGAACACTCTACGTAGTTTTCAGTAAGAAAAGAAGAAAATGAAGTAAATTATGGCGTGGTATTACCTGATCTGTATCGATGCGTGATCGGAATCATTATCAAGTGACCTGGACATGTATCTATGAATGTCACTGCCATATTGTCTGATATAATAACCTTAACGGCGCTCCAGAAGTATGTGCACCAAGATGGCGCACAACCTGATAACCCTGGTATACATAATATGTTCAGGTTGTGCGTCATCTTGGTGCACATACTTCGGGAGCATCATCTTGACTTCATGCAGCCGCGATAAAAGATAAAATATTTGTTGAGACGAAACTTGATGTAGATAGATTATATAGTTGGCGTATAGTAATAATAACATTTTACCACAATTATCGTAAAATTAGTCTACCCGTTAAAATGTTAGACCAATTTAGGTGATTTTATTATACATGCTGCGAAAGGGATATTACCTGCGACTTCAAAAATCGTAATGGACTAATTTATATTTAAAAAGTTCGTTTATTCGTTATGAGTATTTTTGGGGCACTATAAGAAATGTAGGCTATCTTTACCGTGTTCTCAACGTGATGCGCCTCCAGACCGTCGTGTACCGAAAATAACTTCATGGTTTAAGTTGCGATTATGCTTTTTAACCCACCGGGTATTATTCATTTTACACTGCATGTATGTTGTACGTGCTCTTTGAGTGAGAAAAATATCACTGCGGTTTGCCACAAATACGTTTTTGTCAGGTGTTCGACACCTTTTGTCTGAAGAAGGTTACCAGCCATGCAAATGTTTTCTGGCGATTTTGATTAAATACAACAGCTTACGATGCTCAACAATTGTATAATTTCATTATATGAGGGAGAGGCTTCATAGACAAAAGAGTTACGAAGATAGCCTTCCAAATTGAAAACTCGATGCCTTCCGCTACCTCGATCATCTAAATTCTAAGGCAGTGGTCGCCAACCTTTGTCGTTGAATTTTCCCCTTCGCCTATTTTGGAACTCTTCATTCCTCCCCCATTATGCATTAAAACTTCTTTCTATATTCAATACTCAATAGATATTTAGCTAGTGTTATGCGCTTTGTATTATTGTTCAAGTAGTTTATAACGTGTGCATAAATAAGTATTACAGTAATAATAAAGAATATCCAAGTCCGTCCACGTCCAACTTACGTCCGATTCACCAACAGAGCACCAATAAATAGGTGCTCCCGAAGTATGCGAACCAAGATGGCGGACATCGGAACGTAACATGGGTAACAGGTTAGGGTTAGGCGATAATTTTTTTCCAATTTTCCTTATTTTAGTCCTATTATCAGTTCGAAGACTAGCCAAGAGCCTCCCGTAGTATTTATACCTAAAATTATGGCCTAACCCTAACCTAGTACACATATTACATTCCGATGTCCGCCATCTTGGTTCGCATACTTCGGGAGCCCCAATAAATAAACGTAATTTACATACCTCACAATCCGACTGAAAAAATATACACACAATCCCCTCGACTTCGAGTTATCATTTAATTGAATGGAGGGTAAATAGTCGTACCTCACTTCACCTCTAACGTCATTTCAATATATATATATAATTCATATATATATATATATATAACGTACTTGTTCATACAATCCTTTTTGCGATCTTGCCACAGCAGCAGAAACTGTGGGCTTTATATACTTGTCCGATTTGCGATGGGCACGCGCAATGAATTTATCGCATATTCCTTGATTATGTTGTTCCCGATAATCATATACGCTGGCGTAATAAACGATAATTTATTTGTTTAGACAAAATGCAGTGATAAACGATAAAAGGCATATAATTTGTGATAATAGTAAAGAAGCGATAAAGAGTTCTTTTACGTAAGCGAGTCTGAGTAAATAGTTCCCTTTATTCTTATTAGACATGGAATGTAAATAGGGATCGTTTAATTATTATGTCGATGTTCTTGTTGGACACGAAAAGGACCTATGATCGTTTTATTATTTTGTTTTTGTTAAAACTATTATTCTTGCTGGTACCGTATAAAAAAAATCGACTTTGTTTTAAACTACTGGGCCAATTGCTGCGAAAGAAGGCTATTGCTTTAATTTAATTATTTTAATATTTCTGTAAGTTCTAAGTCTAAGGGATTGTTTTTTATCACACCTGACGACCAGATATTAACTTACGCGAGAGAAAAAAACAAATCTCATAGTGCCTATATTTTTGAAATATATAAAATTAATAGCCTTCTGTCGAAAAATACAATCGTCAACCGAAAGGATAACAATAAGAAGAGAATACCAGCAACAATAATATAATAACGAAGCAATCCATAGGTCGCATGTGGGCAATTGTATATCCCTGTTATGCTACAATGTATATAAGTATAAGTATATTTTGATTTTCCAGCAAAAAAAAAACATCATACACAAAACCCAAACATTGAACACACAGAAGATTGGGAAAATCGGGGGAACTGGCAAAACCGTTATAAAGGTTTAATACATGTAAATATACATGCGCCAGTTTACCCACATTCAACACACAAACATATATTCAATATAAAAAGACAAAGACACGAACGTGTAACGGGTGTGTAACATAGACACTCGGTGGGTGCCAATTAATAAATACACTTTGATAGGATGGAATGCATGGCTATGGTACGTGTGTCACAACAGTGCTTTTCCTACAAAAATATGGAATAAAACACACTCGTTGAAATGGTGATGCTGTAGGCTAGTCCATTTTCATTGCAAAATTAACACAGTGACAAAAAATTGTTACTAAAAAAACAAGCTCTGTAAATAGATTGAATGTTTTATGACAGTCTATGCACAAACATGGATTGGACATGAAAAACACCCGCAACTGATCGTCCACCATTTACTTTAAATCCAATTTTTTATCCATAAACTTCTTTAATTCCAGTGTATGGGCTTTGATCATGTTTATACCACGCGATACAAATCCTACAGTAAATACCGAAATACACAGCGCGTAGCATTCTCACACAAACAGCATTGTTTGGTCTTTCATCTCTGTGGATTTCTTCAATTGAAAGAAATCCACATGAGTGAAGTAGGAAAATTTATGTATCGTTATGAAAATTTGCTGCCGCCAGAGTATTTTCAAAATAATTTTTTCAAAATTTCGAATATTCATCCGTATGAGACGAGAAGTACATCAAACAAATTGTATTTCACTCCACGATATCAATCTTTAGCCCCGAAGAAATCACTCAAGCTGGAAGGCATTAATGTATGGCAAAGTATTCCACAGAGAATGAAACAGTGTTCCCTAAAATTATTTGATCGCAAACTAAAACAACATTTATTAGCGGATTATAATGTGATGCAATAACGTTCAAATCTCAGTGTATGTTATCATCAGATTCATAAAATGGATAGGAATTCACCATTTTTATAGATAGATTTTCGTATGCCTCTGTGAAAATTATTGTAGATGCTATTATATATAGTCTGAAGTGTTTATAATTTATATGTACTGTATAGCTTTGGAAATATGGTATTTTTAATTTTTCACCCATTCATAGAAATGTCTGCATTGTCACGATTTGAATCTTGTCTAACATAAAGTTAAATTAATTTAAAGAAATTATAATTTGCTCTACGCCCTTCTTATTCTTTCACTTTTTTTCGCATTTCTTATTACTATTAAAAAATATTATGATCTGCGTAATTATGTGATGTTCCTTTTCTTGTTCCTTGTAATTTTTATTCTTGTTCCGTTACTTTGGGGGCCTCTTAAACGGGCTTAAAACTCAAAAATTTATTTCCCCCCTAATGCAATTATGATGCCTGCTTTAGAGTGTCCTGTTCTGGTAGCATCTCTCCTTAGGGGTCGGTCGAACTTGTTGACCTTGGAAGTCTTGCCCGTCCCCTTCGTATCTTTTTTATGCTTATTGTTGTTTGCGTATGCTTACTGTATTATGTAGGCTACTTGTATCGGAAATAAATCATTATCTATCTATTTATCTTTCATTTAACAGAGCAACAAAAACACGTCCGACTTATCAGTCGGGCTGTAGATTTGGGCGCGGTTTCGATATGCTTAAAATGGACCGACTACAAAGTTGACCTGGTCCAGATCCAGATACAGGCCACGTTTCCCCCCCCAAAGGCAAGAGTAGTGATTTTGGTCTGTAGCGCCACCATGCAATACTAATTCTAAATTTGGGTATTTTCATATTTATTATCTCGAGGGAGAGACAGCCTTAGCTACGTTATTTTAAGGAGTCACGGTAAACCCCGCATTCTTATATTTTCCCAGTCTGTGACTCGGAGTTAAATTTTACCTTTACATGAAAAGATTATTTGATTTCAAAGGATTTTCTTTTTCCATTCATTTTTCTTGACTTTCTGTGTCTGGATGTTGTTGGGCGAGTTGTCTCGAAAAAAAAAAAGAGTTGTCTCTGATGAGTTGTCCGTGTAGTGTAGACCAGGGGTGGGCAAGGTTTTCTCGACAAGGGACCTAAAATTTGGCCCATCTGCACTGACGGGCCATGTAAGTGTGACGTAAAAAGTAAAATTTATGAACAATATTTACAGTGGTGCAAAAGAGGAAAACAATAAGCCTCGTGTCAAAATAAAATTTAATCGCAATCTCAACAAATGCCTTGAGCTATTTTTTAGATAACAGGTCAAGATGTATTTAGGTTCTGAAGTTTGGTTGTGGCAGCATCAGGTGAGCCAGATTGAAATACTCTTAGTGCCCATATGTCAGGTGTAGACGAATTGTCCGTCTACCAATACGGGTGCAATTTCCAAAGCACAATATTCTGGTATTCAAAAAAATTTTGTACCTAATTCCAGCAGTAATCAGTTCACTAACTTATCCAAAACCAATTTATTCTGTACATTTTGTATCTCTCCTTTCAGTACTATAGTAGCCTACAGTAATAGTCTATCTACCAAAACCTGTCTGCCTGTAGACTTATACCATAACTCTGTAACTGAACACCTAAATCAGTAAATGTTGTTAATTTTGTAAATGCAATATTGAAATGGATGGGAATGAAATCATGAAAGAAGATGGATCATCCTCCGAAGGCATTGTAATTTCCAGTGATGGTGAGATAATTTGTAATCTGACATTTTTGGTAAAATTCAAACATACTGAATAACTATAGTAGAGTATTCATTGTATTGCTGTTGTTTTAATCGGCGTTTGTGCAATTAACATAAAAAATATTTTTGTTGTGGATCGAAATTTTATTATTTAATTTTCAGAGGAATATTATGGTTTATCTAAAGCTGTTGAGCATCACATTACTATGCAAGAAAAGGGAACTACTGGCTCATCATCAAATGGTAACTCATAATATTTTACATGTGTATGGTAGGATAGCATTTATTTATACATCAATCTTTCTTTTCTTTGGGCCTATGCGCTGAATTTCCAAATCCCATATTCGTCATGGACTGGTAACCATACGAGAGGCCGTGTTACGCCATATGATTAAACCATCTTATTGACTTTCCTTTCCCTCAGGTAAAACGATATCTTATCCTATCGTAATGTCAGTGAGAGAGTCAAAATATGCCATGTAACTTTTATAAACTTCTCTTTGTTAAAAAAGTCCACTGCATCAGCAACCTTCGAACTGCAAAGTTCAAAATCTACTTGATATTTTAACAGAGCACTGGCGCAGCCATCAACCACCAAAGTATTATGGAAAAGCTCAACATGCCTACACTCACCATCACAAGGGACAATATGAAATATATCATTCTCAGGAACGTCAAATGATGCGACCAAGGTCTTATTCACCAATAAGATCTCGTTCATACAGTGATGATCGTCATGCCGCTGGAATACAACCTCCACCACATACTGTCCCTGATATATATCCACCTGAGAGATACCTTCCACCCACTGTTCCACCACCAATTCGGGATGCTAGATTTAAAGGTTCATTTAGAACGCAAATAGAAACTGCTTCACCATCTGCCCCTCGTCATTATATACCTCCAGATTCAAATTTTGAATTAATACGTAGAAGCAGAATTGAAGAGAACAGGTTGTTACATCCATCTGAAATGCACATGCCTTCCTCTAATAGGAGGCCTCCTACTGACTCTGCTTTTTTGGAACACCGCACAAGACCTGCTTTGGAACATATCAAACACAGACCTTATTTTCGAGATGATGTTCCCAATGTACTGGAATCAAGAAAAAAATCATACAGCCATGATCAATCTCATTCTTTTCAGTATCCAGAGCAGCACCAACAACGTCATCATCTAGATGTAGAACCACTTAGAACGGAAAATCATCCACCAATACATCCAAGGTTTCAAAGTAAACCTCCTAAACCAGTAGCTTTCAAAATTAAAGCTAAAACTCCACCTAAACTTCGTTTGCCGTATCATCCTCTTGACCCATTCAGTCCACTTCCCGGTCAATTAGTGAAAGATATTGGAAGCCCCAAAAGATGGTGTATCCTTTTTTGAAATTGTATATCTAATGCTGGTAGTAGATGCCAAGTTAAGTAGGGTAGATTTGATTAGGTTGAGTTTGTTAATTTGTGTGTGAATGATATGCAGTATATTATCACTACTGAGCTGATGGTTAATAAAATTTTGTCCTATTTTCCTACTCCAAATTTTGTATCTTTGGAATCTTTAGGACTAGGACCAACATTTTTATTTGGTCAAATTTGAAATACGCAGAAATTTAGTGCTGTTATATCGCTCCCATCTCGATTACAAGTTATTCTTCCATATTTAAGGCATTTTAAATGTAATATCAAGGATTCTGTAATTTATTATTGTTTTTTGGTAAAAATATCTTTATGAGCTCTAATGCCTTGTTCATGATTAAATTTTTTCTTAACATGTATCCTTGAATCAGCTCATGACAAATATGAACAAGATCAATTGGCAACAACGGGTTCAGAAGTCAGGAATAGGTAACTATCTAAACCTCATTTAGAGCATATTGTATACCACTTTAATTATGCGAACCTAATTGATGCGCAGTGTTTCATAGCTTTTGCGAGTAATAAAATTTCGCTTAAAATAACTCATATATTGGTGCTTGACAACAAAATTCGATCCATAGTTTTACACAATTTTTATAGGTAAAATTAACCCTGCTTCGAATAGGGATATCATCTGCACTATTCACGACCATTAGGCCTATTGTTTTTTTTATCTCTATGCTTGAAATCTGGAGGAATTCCAGAGTCGAGTCAAATTTCTTTTTCTAACTCAAAGTTCGGAGTTGAATTCAAAATCTTTTTCATCACTGCTCCACAGATCGCACTCAAGATCAATTAAATGATATTAACAGCCGTTTTCATTATTTTTTGTTGAACAAGGTCCTTCTTTTAACCTGTTTGTAATTTTTAGAAATGATCAGCTATCAAGTAATGTTATTGGTAGACATCATAGACATCAAGATCTCGAGGATGCTAGAGGAACTAAAGTTAGTTTTTTTTAAATTTGTTATGAATGAAAATGGTCATATGTGTTTTGGTATTCCAGAATTTTGAAATGTGTATAACATCGGTGGCAAAATCCATCTGATCCATCTTTTTTTGACAGAGACATGCTTAGTTCTTATTAAAGAGTAAGTTTTTACATGACTATAAATCATTGTTAGTGTATATCAAATTTTGTCATGAAGTTATCAAGAAGACTTGCAAATGTCTATCTGCAAACATTTCATCTGGTTGAATTCAGACATAAAATAGCTATAAGACTAATGATTTAGTTTTCTGAGTTTCAAAGCTACCTTTACTTAATAAAAAGTTCTCAAGGACATTCCTTAGTAATTATTTTAATAACAAATATTATAGAAAATTGAGAAATTATCTTCCAAGGGTTCAAGCATTTTGGTAGCCTATATATATTTTAAAATTTCATCAAAACTGTAAAATTTATATTATTCTAATCTTCTTAATTTTCCTAAAATTTTTATGAAATTGAACAGGGTATATTCACGATTTTGTAAATTGAGATTTGAATCATTTATGGAAATAATTAAGGATATATTCGGACTTGTATTGTATTGCAGTTATCGTAATAAATATTATTGTCATTTTTCAGGCACAATTTCGCTCTCCAGAAAAACTAGATCATTTGGAAGGTCAGGAACATCACAAAAAAATTGAGGAGAAGATTGACGGAGAAGAAATGGTTTATGAAATTGAGGAGGAATTTGTGGAAATAGATGAAACCTCTCAACACGAGAACCCAAACTCTGACGACGATGAGGAACTACTCGGACTAAGACTACAAGCTTTAACATCTGCTCTTAATACTGAAGAGAGATCGTCGGAAGAGGATGAGGAGCTTTTAGGGCTGAGATATCATGCTTTGTCTTCGGCACTAAATACTCAAGCCCGTACCGAAGATGGCCATAGTACACATAAAAGAGATCCTTCATTGGATGAAAGACAAAAACCTAAATTTCTAGTAAAAAGAGTTATGGAGGGGGGTTCGGGAAAATCTAAAAAAGTGAAAAAAGGCAGAAAAAAAAGTGACGTTGCAGATCTTTTCATGAAAAAACATAGTTCAATTTCTAAACACCAATCACCAGAAAGAGCACGTCCTGTAACAAAGCAATCAAGGTAATGTGCAAGTGCAAATATATTTATGTTATATTATGTATAAAACTAATTTGCTTACTGAGATAAGATTCAAAACCCCTTTTTTTCTTTTAATATTGTTGCTTGAATTTATTAAAGTAAAAAGAATCGTTCTGGTTATGTGTGCAATATATGTACTAATATACAGGGTGGTCATAAAGTCGTAAAGGTAAATATTTAAATTTCAAATGTTACAAAAGCCTTGGAATCATTGGATCTTGATACACAGTCTTCTCTGATTCATCATGATAACATTCTAAATTAGGATGAGTAACTTAATGACGTCCATATGCATCATAATAGATTGTGAGTTTTACATTGGTGCGTGACGTTATGGCCACACTGTTCTCTTTTTCCATTTTTTAGTGAGATATCAGAAGAAGATAGGTTGCGGTATTAGACTTTTATCATTTTTCATCGTTGTTATATTTATTCGACAGATTACCTGTGGACTCTAAAAAACCCAACAAAGCCCAACTAACACTATTTAGTGAGATTGTAAAGAACCATCAAGCACCTTCAAAAACAGATGCTCTGCGTTACATCAGGTGAGTTGCAGAACTGAAAGTAGAATTGAGAGAGTAGTATCTGTTTACCTTGGGCATTGAATAGCTTGATTTTGTATTGTTATGTGTGTTGATTTCAACAAAAAGTCAACAGTAGGATGGTGAACGTAACTTATTAAATTCATTTCAGAGTCTACTTCGGTTTGCTTAGCTCATTAAAACAACATTATGTAGTAAATTAGTATGAAATTATGTGAATGCCTCACACAAAGGACATGTTTATTATAATAATTGAAATTGTTCAAACAATGCCTTTTCTCTGGCTATAGCGTGTCCTCATTATGTTACTTTTATGCTGTATGCTATTATGAGTTATGACATTATGTAGTGTTTTTTTACCTAGTGTGAAGAAACTTTTATTTTCGACTTTAACATCAGGCAAAATAAATATTTATTATAATTTTGTGTTTTTGTTTTGTCTCTACTTCAATTATGCTCCTTCATGGAATTTAGTGCCAGTGGGTGTATTATTCATTTCTCATCTGCTACATTGCTTTTCTTGTACTTTAGATCACATCCTGATGAAAATATAAAAACTGAGATGTTTTTAAATCTGATGAAACGGGAAAGTTTGAGCGTTCCAGATGCAGTTGATCTCGCAAAACAGAACTTTGTTCACAAAAAAACAGTTGTAGCTGACAAAGAAAATATAAAAAAAGATGTCGAACCGGTCCAGGCTTTTAAAACTGTAGCAGATGCTGAAGAGGTATAATGGGTTATATAATATAATACAGCGGTTTACAACCTGTTTTTTTGGTTGTTTTCATGAGTTACTACAGTACACATGATGGTGTCGGTAATTTCTCTTACTTCTTGATGCACACACAAATGCAGCAACAACAAAAATAATTACCACAATCGGGATATCCTGGATTCTTTTATTCCAGGGGTTCCACGGCACCGTATGGTCCATCAGGACAGTCCAGGGGATACGCAAGTTTCCATCTAAATCCGAAAGGAAAATTAACTTCTGATCCATGGAATAACTGTCTGTTCAGGCCTGTGAGAATAAAAATTGAATAAAATTTTATTTTCAGTCTAATTTTGACAACTATGATGAGATAGAAATGGAGTTATCAGAGGGTGAGAGTGATTCCGGTCTGGTTCCTCCTGGTACAGATGATAGCATTATTCTTCCACCGAAAATTGATTCTACCGGAATGTAAGGCGATTTTAGAATAATATTTTTACTATATGAGAATCGGACAGGAACATGGTGTGGGTCACCTTAATTTAAATGCATACATGTTCATTACACTTTTGACATGGTAATGTATGTACAGTAATTGTGATTTTCTCTATATATAATGAAGCAAAAACTATGTACTGAATTAGTAATTCATTTCAATCTCTTATGTCTACAACACACTTATTATAAACAGTGCATAAATAATATCTTGTTCCTTTTCTCAAGTACTTATTTATTCTCTTTTTTTCTTTGTTTCAATCATTTTACACTTTTCCGACTTAGGGATTTAGCATGTCATATGAAGAATAGGATTTACATATTTATCCAGGGCGAGGGTAGGCGATAAGACGGTTTATTCATTTGGAAAACCACGGCCTCTCGCCCGCTTGCCGTCCACATTTGGGTGAAATATAAAAAAAAAACAGCCCCATATGCCCCACTGTACATCGTTATGAATTATGATATTAATCTGTCCATTAGCTAGCAGAGAAAAGAAGTATCTTCAACAACAATTCAGCAATACAGTCAATATATCCATTTCTTGTCCCATAATTGAAAGTGTTATGTAACATATGTATGTATGAATCTAACATATCGTAAAGTACCTATATCAGTAAAAAATATGATTTTTTTTCAAGTCAAGTTTCTCATGACAACTACCAATCTGTTTCTTTTTACCAGACCTGCTCTGCCAGAAGTTACAAGCATTCCAGTCACAGAAAGCAAAAAATTTTCTGATCATGATTCAGTCACATCAACAGATTATTTATTGAATGCAACTCCATCTCAAGAATCTATCTGGATGATGCTGGAAAATCCTATTGAATCAGAAAAGGCTAAATGTTCTGGTGCTGTGACAGGGACTGATGATAATGGAAGGGAATCGAATTTTGTAGAGGTTTGTATACTACATAATGTGTAGTAGGATACATATTATATAATTTATAGAGTAAGACATACCGGTAGTTAATATCTGGACACCCTATTTGCCGTCTAAAAAACCTATTTTCTGGACCCAATTTTTTGACGCATAACAGAGAAAAAAATGTGTAAAATGGAATCAATAAAAGTGCATTGGTACATAACTAACAAACATAAAAAAAAGTAACACAATTTTTCTGCCTCAGCTTATTGTAGGGTAATAATGAAGAACCCATGTTTTTAATTTCAAAAATTGGCCTCGACTTATTCGTCGATTGGCTCGGAAATGCAGTACCGGTATATAGTTTATACATGGGCCATATATTCCAATCCAGTGTAAACATTTCTGTTCTGCAATGCTTATCAGATGTTTTATTTCATTGTAGAAGCGAGCGAGAATATCTTCGGGAGATATTGAAATTGATGATGACTCATTGATTATTTTGCGGGAACGATTACTAAAACAGATGGACTCAAACAAAAAAGAACCAGTTGGTGGGTTTTCAATTAAATTTATTTTAGTCTCTTCATCACAAAGTATATCTTCGTATAATATGTTAATAAGTATTGTAACTTATTCTGTAATTATGCAATTAGAATGTGCTTTGATTTTTCACTTTTTCCTGCTATGTAAACTATTTTAATTATTGGTACTTTGGAAAATGGATATCTTCATTCTTCTTCTCTTTTTTCATTGCAAGATTTTTTGGCAATGAGTGTACATAGGGGGTTTTATTTTGTTAGTTGGCTATCAGTTTTGAATTTCCTCCAATTGAATCCTTGTTATTTCACCCAATATTTTACTTTTTTTTGAACTTGTGGCAACCCTTTATTACAACATATACAATATGAGATCACTTTTAATTGATCTTTGACCTTCGTGTCCATGTATTTGAATATTGCTTTCTTGTATTTACTGAAAAATTCTTCTGTTTATAAATGTTGTTATATTTTTAGAGAGCACTAAAAAAAGCGGAGATTCATGTGTAAGTGTCCCATCGCCAGTAAATGAATGTTTATCATCTGGTCAGCTCGTTAATGAAATACCGCACAGCAAACCGAATAATCAAGAAATTGCTTTACTTCCATCCCAGTATCCATACCAACCACCGACTTTACAAACTTCACTTGTGAGCAAGATAAATTCAACAAACATAACAGCTGATGGAAGTGAAATATCTTTAAACCAAAACCCTGTTGTTCCTCCATTTTTAACGACTGAAAGAGCAAATCAAGAAACTGTATCTGAGCATGGTTCAAGTAATACACGGCCTGCAGGTCCATGCACGCTACCTTCATCTCAGACTGAATTTTCAGCACCCCAACTTTCCATGCCAAGAAACGACATACCAGCCAGTGTTCCGATACTCATCGACCCTATTTTATTTACTTCCTCTCTAAAAACTGTAAATATCGATCCAAGAATGGAACTAAATGAGGAAACAAAAGCAGCTATAGCATTGTCTGCAGTCAATTTAACGTCGTCTAATTTTAAAAATATTTCAACAACTTTTCCACCATCGTTGACTCCGATAAATGAACCTCAACCTGTAGCAGTTAGGACGCGAGCACAAATTAGTAAAAACAGAAGGAAAAGAAGGAGTAATCGTAAATTAAAAGCTGCGACTATTGCCAATAAGCAAAATAAATCTAAGAAGGCTTTTTTATCACAAACGAATCCACTAGCAAAAGTATCGAGTTCGCCTTCACTACCAACAACATCCAGTATTGATATTAAAAAAGAATCAGTTCTGTTGTCTGTCGTACGTAAAACTCAACCTGTAGCAGTTAAAACGCAGGCACAAATTAGTAAAAACAAGAGGAAAAGGAGGAATCGTAAATTAAAAGCTGCGACTATTGCCAATAAGCAAAATAAATCTAATGAGGCTTTTTCATCGCAAACGGAACCACAAGCAAAAATATCGAGTATGCCCTCACTGCCAACAACATCCAATATTTATATTGAGAAAGAATCAGTGCTGTTGGAACCAGCTACAAAGAAAAAGGCAATTTCTCCGTTACCAAGTATGATACAAACTCCTACCACCACAGGACCACCGACAAATTTTGTTCCACAATTAGCGTCTACTCCTGCTCTTCCACTTAAACCAATGGAGCAAACTCCCACAAGGCCGAAACGAGCGCAAATTCGACAAAAACTTCATAAGGCGATGAACGATCAACCAAAAAAACTTGAGATGAAACTCACAGCGACCACTAATGCTTCACCTGTAAATGCAAATATACTGAAACCTTTTACCACGAATATTGCTACAATATCTAAAACACATCCTAGTATTCCAGTCTCATCTAAGCCAACATTATCAACTTCAAATTCACAAACTTTATTTAAATCTGCAACTACTATTATCAAAAAGAATCATTTAGCTGGAAAAAGAGCTGCGGAATCATTGTCAGACGGATCCAAAAGAAAAGTTAGAGTTTTGACTCAGAATATGCTCGAAAATTCTGCCCAAATTAGATTACCAAGACATCAACCGGTAGTTATTGAGATTGGTGGTTCATCGGATGAGGATGAATCTGTTCTTTCACCTACTCGTACTCGACCAAGCCCCAAAAACCCATTTGATCTTCACAGGGACATGCTCGATGCGATGATAAAGCAAGTTCGTCAAGAGACAACTCTCAAACAGAAATCAGATAACATTGTTGTTTCTCCCAGTACAAATGGAACAAGTGATTCAAAAAATTTAACTTCTCGAACTGCTGACATTCGAAAAGCATTGCCGCTGACAACGGACAAACAACAAAATGTAAATGCGTCAGTTTCAAACTCGAAACCTCAATCTGATAAAATTTTTGAAACCGATATGGAAAATGTAATAAACTCTCCTAAAGCGCCTGCTAACAAAAAAGTAACACCTAAAGTGGATTCACCGTCATCACTAAAGTCTTTATCGAGACAAATGAATCAAATCCAAAAACATGACAGTAACTCAGGAAAGACAACCACCCCTGCCTTGCTACAGTTCAAGCAAGCGAAAATCAAATTTCTGAAATTGAAGACGTTGATAGGAAAGGATGAAGTTGCTTACAATCGTTTGGTGAAAATTAAAGAATCGAAAAAATCTGAACTTAGACTTGTGCAAGACGAATTAAAAGAAATGATTTATAGAGTTGCTGCAATAAAAGGGTGAGTTGTTCAGATGAATTATATCGGATTTTGAAATTGAAATTCAACTTGAAACTAGAGTTTTCATTATTTTAGACTATTTATTATTTGTATATGGTGTTAAAAAATAAGAAGTTCCAAAAAGTAATCCAATCAGATGGTTAGGTGCCGCTATATTCTATTGTATCTTTGGCCCTAGCTCTAGTTATTATGGCCCCAACCATGCGTAAAATGCACTATATCGGAGCTTTCTAAACTTTCACCTCATGACCCCCTTCCAATATGTTAAAATTTTTTGTGCCACCTATTAAGTCGGCCTTGTTATGAACGCACGGCGCTTCTCTGATTTTATGTATTGTCTAGAAATAGTGAGATTTATGTTTTGAACTAGTTTTAATAATTGTGTTTCAAATTAGAAGTCTAAAAAATACAATAGATGGTGATTTGAGTAAAATCGGTGCATTTTTTGCAACTCTTAAATTTCGTTGCGCTCCTCCTGCGGGCGTCAAGACCCCCAATTTGGTAAGCCCTGCACTATACAGTGGAAACTCTACCTACGAAAGGTTCTGGATACGAAAATGCAGTAATCTAATTTTGACATGTATGTGTTACGGGTTTTAATCATTATTACTTATCGATCTTAAGATCGGTAAGTATATTGATAGGTATTTGTCTGTATGTATGTATGTATGTCTGTCTGTCTGTGTGTGTGTCTGTTAGATGCACGCGATATCTCACGAAAGCGAGATTGAATCTGCTCCAGATTTTGCATGTGCATTCATTTTATCTCGGACCAGAAGCCTATTGATTTTGGACGAATTATGTCGTATAATTAGCGAGTTATCAATCAATTATTGATATAGTGATCTAGATTTTTGTAAAGCGAGAGAATTTTGAAACCCGCCGAGTGTGTGTGTGCGATGCGCAGTGCGCAAGTTACAAGAGCGGATGAATCGAAACTGCAGTTTCTGTTTTGGGGGATCCCCTAACTATCGATCGATAAGTCTTCGGTTTCCAACCGATATTCTCGTTATAATTTATTATACAAGTATTATGTCCGAGTTTTGTGGCATCTTGGAATGGATTAGGGCATTTACAGGTAAAATGCGACCCCACTTACGGAATTTTCTACTGACGTAGATGCTTCCGGAAGGAATTAATTTCGTAGGTAGAGTTTTTCACTGTATTAATAAGTCATCGTTATTCTGATATGTCTTTCTATTATAGCCAGTGCTTTTGTAAAGCAAAAAACAAGTTCAATTTGAAAATTAGGGTTTTATTTATTTTTAATTTTTGATAATTATTATTATGGTCATTTTCGTGAAATACCTCTCTATTGTCAAAACCAGAAAAGCTGCTCGTTGTGAGGAGTTAGTGAAGAGATACACTCAACAAGAGACGAAAATGAAAGAAAAACTGGAAAAAAGAAACGACTTAAAAATGAAATTGAAAGAACGAATCAAACGACAAATGATTCTAATGAGATCGGAACAAAGAAGAAAAAAGAATTCGACAATTTCTGGCACAACCACGAAACAAAGTGAAGCAAAGGTACATTTGAAAATTTAATACTTGTTTTATGGCATTTAACTTGTATTTCACATTTCGCAGTATTTATCAAAGTTCATTGTTTTACTTAATTTATAGAAATCAGTAATAGAGGTGAAAGCATCGCCAAATTCCAAAAGTAAAGAATCGATTGATCAAGAAAAAAAGAGATTACTTGCAGTAGAACAAAAGCTTGTTGCCAAGATTAATCAAATGAAGAAATCTGATGGTAAGTCAAGTTTTGAAAACATCTGTAAAATTTTCACACAATATATTACAATAATGACAAACCAAAATAATGCTGTGAAAAAAATTTGTAATATTTTAACCTCTTGCGCCAAAAAAGGTTGAGTCGTTTTCGTATTCCTCTGTTGCATATATTTAAAATAAACATCTTTTTATTCAGGTAAACCAGCAAACCCTTCACGAGTTGGATCTAGAAGAGTGTCGTTATCTCAAGAAGTTCAGTCACAACTTGAAAAACACAAAGAAATGCAAAAAACCAACAAACCTTCGGTACACGATTTATCTCTCAGTAAGATAGCAATACCAACTCTTTCACCTGTCCGGAATCCGCAAACGAAAAGTACAGCATCACCAATTATTTCAATCAATTCTCCTGCAAGAAAACTTCTCAATAGTCCTTCCAGAGTAATGAAATGTGAGTATATGGAGTACCCTTTCAGATCTTTTTTCCAGCTACGTTTCGAAATCAACATTGAGGGATTGTGAATAAGGTTTATTTCTCCCTTCTTCATCCCATATCCTAATGATATTAAATTTTCAGCTTTTGAATTACTTAGGATATGTATATTGTATATGCTGTAGCTTCAGTGTTAAGAATTACTAAACAACAACCATTTTCGTTCATTGTAAATCTGTTTGTTAGGGGAATACCCGCCTAGTTACCTAGTTGGCCAAATGGTCTCATATATCTGTAGCGGACAATGTCAATAGGGCAACTGACGAAGTTGTGCTCACTAATTATAGCAGTACTCTGACGACTGATAGTTCTATATATATAAGTTATGAATTTAAATTAGGTTTTACAACCTTGAGTGTTGTGGCTTAATAACTTCTGTGGTCTTACTCTATAGTGACACCGTGTGTCCCATCACTAATTAATTAATAACTCGCTAACTATAAGACATAATCCATCCAAAATCACTAGGCTTCTGATCCGAGCTATGATGAATGCACATGCAAAATTTGGAGCAGATTCAACCTCGCTTCCGTGAGATATCGCGTGCATCTAACACACGGACATACACACATACAAATACCTATCAACATACTTACTGATCTTAAGATCGATAAGTAATAAGCGTTACCATGACCTATGGATTTTCTTGTTCGATTTATTTATCACACACCTTGATTAAATCTTGATAGTTGGAATCGAAATTAACACTTTCTCCCGAGTAGTTCTGGACAATAGTAAATCAAATTAGCAATACTTTTTCATACGATTGCAACTCGTATTGTTCAGAATGTTGAAACATTTATTAACAAATAATTTGCTATTTCACAGCATCCAGTTCAGCACCAACATCACAGGAAAAAGAAAAGAAAACTATTGTTACACGTTAGTATACTACTAGGAATGTTACAAAACTTCTGCTAGGTACCGCTACGCCATCTCTGAGTACCGCTTATAAAAACAACCACAGATCGCCAGCGGTAGTTCGCATTTTCATGAAATTTTGACATGATTCAGAAAACAAACACGACTATGACCCAGATTTGGGCAGGTTCGCGCCCGAGAGCGCTAGCGCTCCTCGAAATTGCATGCCATTGAAGTCAATTTTACACGCAGTGGTCTCTGACAGCACACTGGCAATTCAGATTTGCACGTATGAATTTCTGATTGCACGTCCGATTTCTCGTTGAGAAAGGCTATGAAATCCAGACTAGACTATGACCATGTTTTGAAATTTTCCCATTAGCGCAAATATTTCTTATCATGCGAAGCTTTTGAAAACAAGAATATCGGTCAGAGACCGAAGACTTATCGATCAAAACTGCGGTTTCGATTCATGACTCTATAGTCACAGTGCATGTCTCATCACTAATTGATTATTAACTCGCTAATTATACGACATAGTTCATCCAAAATCATTAGGCTTCTGGTCCGAGATATGATGAATGCACATGCAAAATTTGGAGCAGATTCAACCACGCCTTCGTGAGATATCGCATACATCTAACAGACAGACAAACAGACAAATACCTATCAACCTATTTACCGATCTAAAAATCGATAAGTAATAACTTTAACATAAACAGTTGTCACAGTCACAGTGTTTGATTTAGCGTAATGCTAACCTTATGGAAAAAAATTGGCCTCTTGGGTGCTACTAAAATGCCAATCTTCGTTATTTCTTGACTGTTTTTCGCAAACTCGGTATTGTTTTCTTATTTTGACTTAGATCTATACATTGGTGCCGCTATTATTCAAATTGGATTAAATTTAAATTTTTTGTTATATACCCAATAATAATTTGATTTCTAAATTCTGAAAATTGGAATTTGAAAATGCACATTGATATTAAAAAATTCCCACTTATATTGAATATTTGAAAACAGTAAGTAAAGTTAAGCTTAAAAATTCAAAATTTTGCATTATATTGTCAAAATACAATCATACTAAGAATTGAGTTTGGATATAGAAATAACATGCAATTGTGATATAAATAGTATCCTTTTTTCCCTACACTCATTTTCTACTACATGTTGGAATGACTCATCAATCTATATTCATACGACTCTTTCTCAAATTTCAGAAACACCAAGCAATATAAAAGAATCTAACATTTTAGAAGAACAAATGAGGTAAGTTGTTACCTTTTACTTATAGTTGATCGTATACAATTCATCAGTTTGCCAAAAAAAAATCTTATTGTACTAGGTAATGTAGATGGATTAGTGTGAGTGTGGTGGAAATATATATTTTCCAATGAAAAATCAGTATTTTAAATCATATATTAGGAAATGTAGTTAATTTTTTTTTGTTTCATATTATGTCAACTTGCGGAACTCATGACTGTACTTACCGGTACCTAACCCTGGTTGAAATCCACTGCTTTTTATGGATGTTACGAATGTTTGGAAGGAATGATTTCTATTTTATCAGTTATCTGTTGGTTTGTCAAATGACGTTGTCATTCTTTTTACAGTTCAACTGCAAGTGAAGTCTCCTTGAAGCGTTTCCAGAAAATAATTGAAAAATCGATGAATGACATTAAATCTTCGTTTCTTGGATCCCAACAACCGTTTGCTGAAATACCTTTTTCTAATAAATCTTGGGACATGAAAACACCTGGTAAATTGATTCCATTTATCGAGTTGACTGACTTACAAAATTGACGTTAATAATGTACCCATAATCATCATCGTTTCACCACACAAAATGCGAATTTCAGAGAAAAAAAGGCATCACTTATTTGATACATTTGTATTGTAAAATGACATTTTGCTTATGTTTTTTAATTACATTCTTGACTTACCTAATTTTGTTCCTGCTCCTGCCTGTGTATGTAATATAGATCCAGACTCAAAATCAACATGAATTAAATATAAGTCTTTGTTTTATATTCAGGTTATTTATCAGGAGTATTTCATTATATCGAACTTTTAAAGAAAAATAATTTTTTTTACGTTTGTGTTCTAGACTGCTTTAAACGGTGGAAGATTGATATAGGGGAACTCCTTCGAAATAGCAAAGAAGAAATTTCTGATAATAAAACTTACGAGGTAAAATTACAAAACAAAATCAACATGTTTAATATTCTATTGTTTTTACTGGATACTGATTTCATTTGTTAATATTGGAAACAATGATGTTCTAAAACTAAACGAGAATATCGGTCGGTGACCGAGGACTTATCGATTGAAACTGCGGTTTCGATTCATGACTCTATAGTGACACCGCGTGTCCCATTACTAATTAATTAATAACCTGCTAATCAATAGGCTTCTGGTACGAGATATGATGAATGCACATGCAAAATTTGGAGCAGATTCAACCTCGCCTTTTTGAGATATCATGTTCATCTAACAAACAGACATACAGACAGACAGAAATACCTATCAACATACTTACCGATCTTGAGATCGATAAGTAACAACTGATCATATACAAATTTTATTTTGCCAATTATGTACCATATAACCCTGACATGGGGGCAAACTGTGGCCCGCTGGTCAAATCGGGCTTGTTGGGTAATTCAATCTGGCCCGTGGTCCAGAAATCGTACCCATCCCACCACTGATACAACCACTTTCTTATTCTCTGAATTGATTATGTAACTTTATATAACCTATAAGACTGCAGAAGAATTGAATAAAAACCTTTTTATCGACAGAGTTACCCATTTTGTGCATTATCTAAATAAGAACATCTTTTGGTCTATATTTTCAAATTTACTTCTTTTTTCATAGTTCAAGACATATCAGAGCCCTCTTCATACATTTCGATCATATCGACTCAATCCATTTATGAGAACAAAAGACAAATTATCTATCAAGTCAGCAACGTTCAGTCATAAGATTAACCCAGAGAAGATACTATGCAGGTAAACATCATTTGTATATCAGTAATAATATGATTTGTCTATTTTCTAGAATCTTGATAACTTAACTTTTATTTCTTTCAAATTGGTATTGGTTTCAAAATCATATCTTTAGATGTCAGTGGCTGATTGTGCAGAACCTTGTTCTGAGCGTAAATGGACGTAAAAAATTGTGAATCTATTAGCCAAATTATTGGTGGTGTTGTTTTGTTTTAACTACTCCAGGGATAACATTCAATTTTTTAGCAAATAAATATCTTCCAGAGGAGTTTTCAATATGTTTTTTTTTAGTTTTACGACCTATTTTTTCCCTGCAATCCTTGTTTAATTTTCAAAATTCATGTCTTGTTGTTTATTTTTCACTCTCCAATTCCATTAAGCTCTGCTGCATAAACTTTGTATGTTTCTTTTAAGGTGGTAGCTTCGTCCTTCTCAATATATTTGTACATTTTGTTCTTATAATTGTTCAATCTTGCCTCACAGATACGGTTTGACTGGAACTTGCCATGATCCGAATTGTAGAGCACAACATTCTAAACAATATGAGTTGCAGTCGTCAGAAGTATTGCTAGATTTGATTTGTTATTGTCCAGAATTACTTGGTGAAAATGCGAGTTTTGATTCTAACTATCAAGATTTAATCAAGGTATGTAATATCGCATTGGATCGTCTATGCTTAGAAGTTGGAATGTTCAATGCCGATCATATTAAATTTTTTTTAGCTATCTGAATTGACTTGTAACAAATTATGTGGAATATCAGGCAAACAAACCAACATGTCTATTGATGAAAAATGCATTCTGATTGCGAGTAAAGTGAACACTGCTCTCAATAACAAGGTAATGCATAATTGTAAAATTATCTTATGTAGTCTAACAGTTATTGCAGGTGAAAATAATGAGAAAAGATAGCTTAATCATAAAACGAACTGCAACCTCTTATCTGGGTTCGTCAGTATGTAAATAGGTAAATTATTAATTTTTCCAGTTGCTTGTTGTTTGTTTTTAAAAAGCTAAAACTGACATTAACCACCCTGCAATGGTGATGAGTACTGTGATCCCTTGGTACATACGGTAAGTCCTGAACACAAAGTAGTGCTAAACATGCTGTTTATATGTCAAGTGAAAAACGTCGAATGTCAATTGAAAATAGAGGTCATTGCGGATGTAAGAAATTACCAAGGCAAAACTTTGTTTTACATCTTTGCATCCTACTTTTTATTGGCAACTTATCCAGGTTATGTTAGAATGGATGACAGCATAATGAAGATACGCCCATGAACAATTTCGCAGTAGATGTAAAAATCGCATATATGCCGTATATAATCATAGATGGCTTGGTAGTTGGGGTTAAGCGTTACGAATACCCTGCCATCTCACTTCTGATTTCCTTGTGGGGGTTTGCAGTGGTTCTCAACCTGTGGTACGCGGGAGCTTTTCAAGTGGTACGCGAGCAGATTTGAATTATTGCAACAATTAACATTTCAGTTGGCTAAATATGCGGCAACGCTTTATCTTCCTTACTGTATGTATTCGCTGAACAGCGTTTATGAATGTTTCCCCAAGCATCAGTTTCCTTGTTTATTTCCGTAACTATAACCAACCAGCAATAAGTCAATAATGACGAAACACAGAACTATTGTAATTTCTGCATTCAGCCGCGCAGACACTTCTGTCGCTCAAACAGATATTCAAGCATGGTTGCAAACATTGCCTCGTTTTTTTAGTTTTGAGTAATATTTGTCAGTTTTCAGTTGTGTTTCAAGAAAATAATAGTGAATTAATTAACTTAATTGTCATTATGTCATTGTCATATCATGTTTCTTGTGTCTTTTTCCCCACGCCAAAAAGGAGCTTTGTCGGTGGTACGCGACCATAGTAAAAAACAGTAAAGTGGTACGCGGCCAGTAAAAGGTTGAGAACCACTGCCATTGAGGATAGCTATGCGTATGTCGATTGCTGGACTACTTGTCACCGTAAGGTGGTTCACGTAACCGCTGGTCAGTTACAGCTTCTTCCGCCAAAAAGTCCATGCTGAAACTAGTAAAAGTGAAACAAATAACTGGCCAACTAATTCCATACCCGTCATAGACTGGTAACTGGATGAGAGGCTGTGGTTCGTGCTATGATTTATAAGCTGTCTTATCGGCTTTCTTTAAGGATAAATCTTGAGGATAAATAAGGATAAGGATAAATCCTTAAATCTTCATTGTGTTTCAGGCTCCTTTCACAACTATTTTTAAACCGAGAATATTCAAACCTATGCAAAACAAAGATTCAGTTTCACCTGTTAGTTGGACAAATAATGATATGAATGAGATTGATGAGGAAATAATAGTCAAGCCACAGGAGATTGTGAACCTTGAACATCCAGGTATTCTATGTTTTAGGATTTCAAATGCAAGTTATTTGGAACATCTTGTTGTAAATGGATATATTTCTCCACAACTAAAATTACCGTATGTAAAAAAATGAGAAAATCTGCAAAAAATGATTTATACATTTTCCGCGAAATGTTCGACTTTTGCATATAGATCCTATTACCTCCGTGGCAATATCACCTTATTTTTGAGTCTCAGTTATTTCATTCTGCTATTTTCTGAATTATTGAGATTTGCAAATCCTCTTCATATTTTGATCTCTTAAAGCAGTTCAACGGTTCAGCGCTCTCTTCATTTTACTTATTTTGATTCTCTTTATTCCACCCTCGCTATGTAAAAACTCTCTGTTCATTGTAAGTTCAACCTATGAGTCCTCAGTTGATCCTTAGATAATGTTATGTAAAGCTCGTGTTCTAGTGTTCGTGTTCTGTGTATTCTTTTGCACAATCAGAATATTTTATAATGTGTACATGAATATGTATTACATTGTTGCTGAATATATGAACAACAATAAAAATACGCCAATCACAAGTATTATTCACTACAAAATTCTCTCAATTTTCTCTTGTTTGGGAAGCACTGCCGTACATATTGAATTTATTTATCATGCTTATGCAGATTCTTTCATCAAAGATGAAGAGAGATATTTCATAGAAAATGAGCAAGGGACTCTGAGTAAAATTGAGGCAGCTTTAAAAAGAAATCCGCATGACATACAACTATGGTTGGAATTATCGTACAGAAAAATGTCAAAGGCGTCTGTCGATGGGCAGAGCAGGTAAGATAGGATTTACGTATTTATCCTAGTCCTGCTAAAATCAAACGTACTGTCTATATGTCAGCCCAATAACTCTCTACATTGAAGGTTATTCATATCCGACTTTTCTGTTTTTAAATGCCGATTTTTTATATTTATATTATACTATCGATTGGGTTTCCGAGGCACTCACTACTTTTCTTTTGCCGGTGCTTAATGCAAGGATGCTGGAGCAAGATTGAAAATAACTTTGTCAAGCTTATCAGACAGAACGTTAAAGAAATATATTTGTGTTAGTATGTAGCGAGAAACTTGAATCACTTTTCATTTTTATAATTGAAAAACTCAATATTTTAGCTTGGAGCTTGCTTTGCACACGATGTGCCTTGCTCTAGAAGAAAATCCATACGTTGGAGAACTCTGGGGACATTACCTCGGTCTACTTAGACGTCGTAAAGGTGCTGAAAGCAATGAAGATCTGGATGAAATGGTCACACAAGCTATCGAACTCGTACCATTGTCACCTCATGTCTGGAATCAAGTATGTTCAATGAAGTTTTTTGTTGAAGCATCTATTGATCTATTTACTTTATAACCTGTTCTTGTTCAAGGCAGATTTGGACCTGCACATCATTGGATGGTATTTACCGCTGGTCGGCTACGGTTTCCTCCACCATCAAGTCCATGCTCCCGAAAACAGATAACTAACTAACCCTATACCCGACATGGAATGGTAACCGGACGAGAGGCCGTGGTTCGCCATATGGTTAAGCCGTCTTATCGGCTTCCCTCAGGATAAATATGCATTAATTAGACTTCTTATTTTTTAGCTTTTGTCGTGGGATTTGAATGTTGTAAAAAGGGAATTTCTATACGATCAACTTATTTCAAACTTGCTGAAAAATATTGAAGGTGATTTTTACGTTATTCTTTGACTTAGGGGGACCTTTTCGTAAATTTTATTGTTTGTTATTAATATTTTTTTCTCTTCACAAGGTGGGATCCCTGTAAATGGTTTATCACCGGATGTTACTTCAAGATGGCTTTTGCAAACAGTGTTGCAACGAACTCAACTTCAATTATTACATCGTCCAATCTCTGAAGTTTTACCATTGTTGAAAGTAAGAATTAATTTTTTGATCAAATTAATCATTTTCAAGTAAATTTCTTGTTATTTAAATTTCATGATATGTCAAGTTTGTTTGATTACCTTTTTTATTAACTTGTCATGACATGAAGAAATGCCCAAAATTGAAGACTGCAAAATTTTTCATGAAATATAATGGCCTATAAAAAAAATTCCGATAACATCAACAAGAATAACGACAATAAGATTTTTGTTATTGAGTCTTTGCATGCTGCTTCAAAATAAATGATCCACCTAGTGGAGAGGAATGCCAAGTTTAAAAGCACTCATCTAGATAGACCTTATTTTACGATTTTTGCCCCTCTAACATTTGAAAACATTTCTACAGATAACAGTAAAAGAATTCTCTCAACAATGTCAAAAGTTTCCTACCTTTTCTACATCTTCTTCGAATAGATGTTTGACGTCGACTGATCTTAATCATCTTTGGTTGGCATATTTTAATGTCGTGCATTTCAATAATCTTCCACAGTGCTTTTTTCCAAATATAAGGTAATGTAACAAAAATTGAATTTTATGTTTACTTTAATAATATTAAACATCTTGGGTTAATGCCCCATAAGTCCCACCTCACCCAAGGAATTATGAAGATGTGTAAGCAATGCCAAACTGAGAAGATCCGGGGCCATTCGAATAGCAGTAGCTTCATAAATTTTGATTGGGTTTGAGTGAGTTCCCAATTGCTACCTGTACAGGGCGTTGTAGGCAGCAGAAGGTGCGAGTGAGCGTCTAAAAATGCCAAGTTTTATCCATATCCACATTATCTATTTCAAATAATCAATTGGTTACCTTTTCCCCATACCTAATGTAGACTAGCATCGAATAATAGGATATGTTAGGGTGTATAATGTGGTTATTAAGCTATTTTATTGTTTTTTTCTCCACAATATCCTATCAAATATGAAACATTCTATCTTATTGCTCTCAAAGCAGCACTCCCTTGTCCTTGTTTTCTCATTGAAAATAAATACCTGAATCCGTTATTCTCATAATTACTTTGAATTTGTGAGTGAGTCAAATTTCTATATTGAGCAGAAATACATATCATTTATTTGTCACTTTTTAGCTCTGCATGCAATGCTCGAAATTATCTCGGGATCAAAGTTTATCCAGGATTAGAAGTTCAGCTTGACTTTAATTCAAGGAATAAACTTTGATGAAAGTTTCTATTCAAACCTGCATGCTGACCTTGACGGTGAGTAGCCTAATAGACTATCGAATATGCCCATTAGGGGTGATTCTCAACGTTTTGACCTGTTTACTCAGATAATGGTATTGGTCAGGGGTGGCGAAATTAAATAATTTATCATTCCAAATACATCATGAAATTATTTTTGAATTTTTTTCGTTTGATAAGATGAAAAAATTTACACATATAAAATTTGAAAATATTAGGAATAGCATAAACATTGTTTTTACTAGTTTTTTTTTTATATTTGTGACGTCATCATGAGTTAAATAGGCCATATATCTTCTGTTCTGTCTGTAGGGTATGAATCGATATAATTACAATTATGACCTAAATTAGGCATCATCTCATTGCTGTAATTAAATATTGTGAATAATCGTTCACAACTAATTTTTTAATAAATTTGAAATATATGATTCCTTTAATGGCTTCGCTCATTTGGGCAGTTCTGTCGTTTGTGTTTTCTGATTTTTGAAAGTTATTCTTAATTTTACTATATGTTTGATTCAGTTGCTATCAAGGATTCTTCATCAACTGAAGATCTATTATCAGCTCGACAGTTACTTCGGGAAAGATTGCGATTGGAAATATCTCAGCAAAAATGGGACAACGCTGCTAATAGTTGCAAGTAAGAATTGGGAATTCTCTTTTTTACTTCTATTGGTTGTCATCCTAACCAGTACTTTACAACCCATGCATTTCTATCATTGAATTCTATGTTGCATTTCCCCCATGATGTGATCTTCGTTGTATTTGGTTTCTTCACAATGGCCAATCAGCCCAATATCGACGAATAAAACAACTGATTAACTGAATGCTTTTATTTACATAGTATATATACATTAAAAAGTAAAACATATCATTCTGATTTATGTCTTTCTATTCTAAAGATTATCGCAAATTCAAAACTAAATGTAAATTTTTATTCCATATTCATCAAAATGTAATGTCAGAAATTTTGTAACTTTAATAATTTGTTCCTGAAAATAATAAGATTCTAGAAATCAGAGGAAAAGTTTGAATGAGTTTTCAATGAGTTTGAATGAGTTTCTTGGTTTTACAGGTTTTTGTGTAAAACTATGACTAATGCGATACAAAAACTGTCAATAAATGAGGAAACGCTAACTCAGATCAAAAAGGGAGTGACTGATATTTCTATAATATGGGCAGATGTTTTGGTGAAGAAGGGCGACAGCTTATCTGCCACACAGGTATAGTATTGGAATTAATCAATTAATTAGTCAATTAATCCTTCGACTGCCAGGAAATGAAAATTTGATGTTTTCCGCAAAACTACTACCGTACTTTACAAATCAAATATGCTTCTCTCATCTCTATCTTTTATTTCGACCATACTATTTTAATTTTGAATTATTTATATATTTGTTGCCAGTACCAAAAAAACACAAAATTAATTTTGACCATATTCACTTGATATGTGATTGATATCAAGCAAGATTATAATCAAATCGTGAAATAAAAAAAATGGAATTCTGTAATCAGGGGAACAACTGATTCATGTAATTTGGACATTGTCAATATAACTAGCATTGTAGTATTGTGTGATCGGAGAAGTTAACAAATAAGAAATCTGTAGACAATGCTTCTTAATATGATCTTAAGTATGCATGATTCGACATAACACTCCAGGTCGTGTGGCTGTTGGAATGTAGTTAAACATGCCCTGTTTTACATTTCCTGTATCTTTCGTGACATAAATGTACACATTTTTGTATTGCTCACCACTATTGGGTGTACCCGGATACCATTTAGTGAACGGTGATGGATTTCAGAAAGTGTCACAAGTTGCTGAAATAGATAGGATAGGAGTTACATATGTATCAAGGGTGAGGCGATAAGGCGACTTAATATTGATATGGGGAACCGCAGCCTCTTGTACGGGTACCAGTCATGTTGGGTATGGGATTAGTTAGCCAGTTTTCTGATGCATGAACTTGACGGTGAAGGAAGCTGTAACTGACCAGTGGACAGTGGTTATGTGAACCACCCTATGGAAGCGAGAAGTCCAGCAATTATCTTGTACATAGTTATCCCACACAGGATTGGACCATCCAACCCACGCAGGGTAATCAGAGGTGCTGGGGCAAGCGTATTCCTAATGCTTGGCACTATGCTCTGAGCCTAATCCGAGATAAGTCAATGATAATTTAATGTGATAGAAATGATAAATATTTGCTGGTTCACCATATTCGTTATGAAATCAAATTTAAATACTCACTGAGTTTTTGTACAATAGTCCTGTCCAGTATCCCGTACCAGGTGATGTTGATTTTGATCTGACTAACTCTGCTATTTTTGGTAATGTGTTTCATCTTCAATGTATCCAATATCCATCCCAATATCTCTACAGGCTTGTGTTGCTCGGTCAAAATTCATTTGGGTTTCGCGAAGTATCATCCGATAGCAATTATTCTTGTGAATGACTTCACAGCTGACTGTTTTATCTAGAAAATGAAATTTTCAATTGGCTCTATTTAAAAATGAATTAGATTCATGTTGGGAATTCTGGATTCTGAATTTTATTTGCCCAACAATTTTTATGTTTCCAGTTTGCATTTTGGGTTTGAGAACTCCTTGACAAAAAATTCATCATGTAATGTTAACAAAACAGTTTTACATAACTTATAGTTTAGTAACTATTACCCATCCTCTGCTGAAGATCATTCATGGTTTTATTCATCTTCTCTTCCGTTTCTGTCCGCAGATCATTTATCGCTGCAACAAGTTACATATAAAAGTAGAAAAAAGGGTCGCTGAACTAATAGTATGAATCAAACAAACTAAATTTTTAAATGAATCAATGTTAGGGATACCTTATTTCAATTTAATACCGATGAATGAGTGAATAGATTTTGCAACAGATATAATTGGATGTTTCTGCCAAAACCACATTCTTAGGTTTATCTATACAAAGGCCATTTCATCCGAATAGTCATTATATCATCATTTAAACTATATATATATACAATAAGAAGTAAACCTCAATATATTCCTTTAAAGGAAAATCTGTAAATTTTGCAAGATCTTCCACTCCAAACAAGGCTTTGTACAAGCCCCACTGATGCTTACGGCCAATATTAATTTAAATTACCTGATTCTATTGCTGCATTCATTCTTTCATAATCGACAATTCCTTTTGGGCCTCTGGGCCCTTGTGATCCTTTTGGGCCAATTTCACCAGGTGGCCCACGTTTGCCCGGAACACCCTGTGAACTTCGTTGTGGTGGAATTGAGTAGGTTTCTTCTGCATTGACATTTTCAATTTGACGAGCAATTGAATGCTCCAAAACATCCAATATAGTATACCCTTACTCATATTTAACGCCTGTTTAAAGCAAACATTAGAATTGAAACTCAAATGCAGTCTAGCATACATTTCTGTCTAAAATTAATCAAGTTGCAATTCCATTTCAATGAAACTTCTATCTTACTATTTGGTATTTATAAAGTTGAGGCAAATACATCTATGCATGCCAACCTACTGCATTAAGCAGCCGACTGTACTACTGTAGCAAGCAAAGTATTTATATTGAATTTTTGCATTCGTTTAGATTTCAGAGGTTGGAATGTTTCCATTCATTAAATTTTGAATGGCTAAAAAAGTGCTATTTTGTCGTGAAGTGTTTGAATTGCCATGGGAAATTGCAAAAAACTTGTTTCCCATGCTATTTGGCTGTGAAATTTCTGCGCGTTTGGTATTGTTGTCAAAATGTGTTGTGTGAGAAAATGACGAAGTGCCTGAAAAACAGACATTTGGGGCGTTTGAAATGTTATTTTGCAGCTTGACAAAGCTATAAACTATGTAACTAACTAATCACTGAGCCACTAAAAGCATAAAAAAGGCACTGAAATATCAAAATTATAAGTATAAAAAGTATAAAAAAATAAAAATTATTTTTTTGTGGTAATAATGAGAAATGTCAAATCGTTAATGCATAGGCTACTTATTTTTAATTGGATATTATAACAGTCATGGATAGGACAAACAGGCAAGAAGATCTTATCTATTTAATATTACTTTTTTAAAGGTCTTTGAAGAAGCTGTGACAGAAAATCCATCTGATGCAAAACTTTGTTATGAAGCAGCTTTGTTTCAATTGAATCAAGAATCATCGGACATTGATGCTGCACTTCTGTATTTTGAAACTTGTGCTTCAGCTTATTTGAAAATAGGTAAAAGTTTTGTGGTTTTTATAAAATCAAGATTCACCATGTGAAATACACCAGGGTGGTCGATAAAAAAGCAGAAAATTTGAAGGTCACATGACACCACAAATAAAATGTGTGTTTTCTTTTAGGTTCTAGGTTGGTACTGTTTTTCTAGCCACCACCCTGTAGTTACCAGGTTTCGGCATTGCCTAGTTTATTACACCCTAAGTGATGACATGATTTTAATATTAATATTAGGTTCTCAATTTTAGCTTCATTTTGGATTCTTTTTCAGATATAGATGTGATTAATTTATCAGAATTGAAGAAATTATTTCACTACTTATTGAGATTATCGGATTCATTAACTGACAAACATCTTTCTCTTTTACCGGAAATTAGTTGGAAAATTGTTGGGAAGAACAAAGCATATTTATGGATGATTTACATGTAAGTGAAATAGATCAAGGGTGTTGGAATTATGAGTGTTAAGATATATATGGTGTCTCAATTTTTTTTAATATTGCAAATGGTATTTATCGATGTCATAAATTGTTTCGGCCCTTACAGATGTATTAAACTAGCTAGCGATCGGAGACCGTCGACTTATCGATCTGCGGTTTCGAATCCTTCGCTCTGACTCAATAACAACACCGCATGTTCCATCACTAAATAATTAATAACTCGCTAATTATACGACATAATTCATCCAAAAGCAATAGGCTTCTGATTCAATATATATTGAATGCACATGCAAAATTTGGAGTAGATTCAACCTTGCTTTCGTGAGATATCGCGTAACATACGAAAGTGTATGACAGACAAACAAACAAACAAATACCTATCAACATACTTATCGAGATCGATGAAGTAAAAACACTTTTGAATTCATGATTAAAAACAACAAACCTGGTTAAGATATATTTAGACCTGACTTCGTAACAAAATTGAAAATATAAAGGGACTTTATGGACACCCTGTAGATCCAGAAATATCCTGATGTGCCACTCAATCAATGTTTGTGATTACGGAAATCGTAATAGAATTCTTATTTGGATTCTATTCATTTTTGAACAATGCTTTATGGTGAATCATGTTCTTTTCAGTGTAATTCTCGATTTATCCAGCGAATCTGTCAACGTTATACTGGATTATTATGAAAAGGCAATTGTGGATGTGGGTGATGAAAATGATAGAAGACAAATATGGCTAAGGTGGGACTTTATAATCAGATTCGCAAATTTTTTTAATAATAAAAAAAAGTATATTCAAATAATTCATTTTCCTCGAAATACTTATTTGGATACTTCTTGATACCATCATTGTAAAATCCAAAAGTATTGATAGCTAATTTTATTTTCTCTTCTCAGGACTCATTTTTGATCCTTGTAACTGAATTAAAACTTTTAGGAAGACAAAATAATCATTCAGTTGTTTAATTTGTACCCAAGTTTTGGAGACAACGAAAAAACTAATCAATTGCTAGATAATGTTTCCAGCCATGCCTGAGAATCTTTGAATTAAAAATTGTCTAAGCGACTTCTTAAAATTTCAATTGTCACGTCACCTTTGACATCTTGATGATATCCAGTGGCGCATTGTGCTAAGCGTTCCATTCCCATTCTTTTCTCTCCTCCAGGATAAATATGCAAGTACTACTACTACATAAATGGTCAAAGCATCTCCCATTTGGAAAAAAAAATATCCCGATTCCATTTTTTATATCAAATTTCCTTTACAGATATCTTCTATATCGTCAGCATCTTGCCTCAAAACTAGTCGAACCAACAACAATAACTGTAAAAACGCGTCAAATATGGCTAAAGAATTTTACTGCAGTTATTCGTCGATGCATAACAACTTGTTCTCCAGATTTAGCCATTGATGAATTGCTCAGCTCTGATGCCAGATTTTCTGACTACACATTTCATAATCAGGTAGAAATATAATGTGTACTTATTGGCGATGATGTACTCTAGGTCAGTGGTTCCCGACCTTTCTACCCTGGCGGACCGGTAAAATTAAATTGAATGTACTTGCGGAACGGCAAAAAATTAAAATGACTGGAACATAAAAAATGTAACATATTTGCGTAAAATAATGCAATGTAGGGCACTCAATATGCTCCTGGACATAAAAGGCACACCCAAAAACATGTCACACAAAAAAAAAATATCGAATAATGTGACAGCCAAAAATTGAAATGAGTGAAACAAAATAATACCATATATTTGCGTAATCAAATGCAGTGCTGGACACTCATTACGCATATGAAATGCAGCATAAAAAAATCTCACATGAAAAATATAGGATTGTAAACGAGGCCTCAAAGAAGTTTCTGCATCACGTAGCTATGCAGCGGCGTGTGGCCGATTTCTCTGCTTCGTTTTGATTAAAGCTAATGATGAAAATGTTTTAACGCATAAGTAACTGGTTGAAAATACGGACAACAGTTTGATTGCTCGATTACTTAGCGATGGGTATTCGTTATCAAGAGATATCCAAAATTGTGACAGTGATACTTTTTTAAATCTGAACTGTAAAGTATAATCACAATTTTAATCGAGGTTTTTTCTTTTTCATCGACTTTATCATATTAATCCCACTGCAGTTGCTTGACGTCTCAAACAAAATAAATTTACAATAAAATGACAAAGTCGTCGGTAACTTGGCCCAAAATCCTACTGTGCCTGCTCAAAATACATGGATCTCTGCGGTCCATGCTTTTTTGCGCGTCTCGTGAGTCGTGACCACCTGCAGGGTCGCAACAACTTTATATTTTACTAGAATATTATACTGTTCTTGACTGTATTTTTGTATAAACAAAGAAATATGCATAAAGTTTTATATGGATAGTCATATTAATCGGGCAAAGCATGAAGAACAGAAAAACACGCATGCCGATTTTTAGGTTTCTGATTCTTGCGAGATTCGATGGAGCGCATTCGCAACGAATCGGAGCCGAAAAAGCGAGAAGTGTTATTACCTGGCGATAAGATGTCCCGAAAGACGTCGCAATATGACGGCGCAAGAGAAATTGCGTAATAAACCAACGCAACCTCGTCTTCGGTAAAGCAATTGAGACGCCATACATACATCCAAACTACGAAATTTCTTGCGGACCGGCAAAAAAGCTGCGCGGACCGGCGGTTGGGAACCACTGCTCTAGGTTACTAGATTCTAACATGATACATAATAATAGTAAGTGTACAGTTGTTTATTAAAATTTATATCTTTTTATTTTTTATAGATGTTTATGTCTAATTCTCGGAATAATAAAGATTTTTGTGAATTTGCTATTTTGCTTAATGATAATAAACTCATTTAGGATACTAAATATTTTAAAATATAAAATATAATAATAATGCGTAGACCGAACGATTTTTGATAATGACAGTATTTACATGATAATATTGATTTTAGTATTTTATAAACTACAGGTTGCGTCTATCTACTTATCATGCTTTCATACAAGGCAACACATATCAACTGCTTATAATTTTCTTACTGATCTGATGCCGTATAATGTTCCACTGTTATTGAGGTAAGTGGATAAATGGTGATTTGTTGAAAGGTAAACTAGTAGGTACTCCTGAAGTATGTGAACCAAAATGGCAAACACTTGAGCGTAGTATGTGTACCAGGTTAGGGCTAAGCCATAATTTCAGGTTCATAGTATAGGAGTCACTTGCCTAGTCCCTGAACTCGTAGTAGAACTAAAATAAGGAAAATTGGAATAAAAATATGGCCTAACCCTAACCTAGTAGCCTACACGTACTACGTTCCGGTGTCTGCCATTTTGGTTCACATACTTCGGGAGCGCCAACTAATATGCAGCTATTTAAATAAGTTTATGAATATTTGTATTTGATTTGGTGAATTTTTGAATTTATATTCAAGTAAAAGGTATTCTTTAACAACAATTTTCCAAGCAAACAAGGGACCATTAGGGTATACCAAATTTAGAAATGTTATTGTAGAAACATTTTAGCTTTAGCGTTCTTCATAGGCATTTAGAATTAGTATTTGATATACACAGTCTTTGTAAATTATCTTGTAATGGAAAAATAATATTTGTTTGGTTTTTCAATTTTGACTGTACTTTCATCAGCATTTTAAATCAAGATTTCAGGAACATTAACTCAGATATTCCAAATTTTATGGAATATATTTTTATATTCCAGAGCATGCCGACATTTTCTCAGTTTTGGAGATGACTCAACAATCGTTTCCATATTATGGAGGATAACTTCAACTACATTGTGTCAAAACATGATGATATGGAAAATGTAGTAAATCTTGAATAATCTTTTTTGAATAATATTTGATTATTTTCTATTCAAGTTTTATGTAATCAACATGTTTTCTTACGAGTTGTATGTAAAGCTAAGTAATTAGATGTTCAATGTTTAAATCCTTTTTGTAATTGATTTATAAAAGTTTCATGAGGGAACTTAATAATTTCTATATATTTTTTTTCACAAAATTCACTAGATCAGTCTCGTCACTTTTCTCTCGTGGAAGAATGTCAAAGGTACGGGTATCAAGTTTTGATTTTGTGAAATTGACAAAGTGACAATTATGTTTATTGAAAATAATCTCTATTTTAGGCAATACATCTGTCCCGGCGGTCTGTGGATGCAGTACCGTATTCTCGTGAGCTGTGGACTGATGTAAATATAAATTTTTCTTAACTGGTAAAATGTTTTAAACTTTGTTTCCTGGGCAACAGGTGAGTGCAATTAGAAAGTTGTTATATTTGTAAAGTGATAATTTCATACAAAAATTGGGACCATGTGGCTTCTTGCAAATGTACGTAAAATCGATTTAATTTGATTGCATTCATTTTAAAGTTCTTTGTGGGTCATATTTTCATACTTTCAGATGAATTAGCTATTATGGGAGTTGATGTCCTTAAGATGCAGGTAGAAAATTTCCAGCTTGAATAGAATGAGATTTTTGAATGTGTCTTGTATTTGCCACAGTTAAATGTTCATTCTCTTAAACTAGTACTGAAATCAGATGCAATTTTTTATTTCAATGAATCAAGAGTCAGGATGTTGGATTGTAAAACTGCTTTGTTTTGCTAGCGATAAACCAGAAGTTTTAATAATCTTGCTGGTTGAAAGACTAGCATTTCAGTTTGATTTGAAAGCCTGTCATCATTGTTTCAAGTTCAATGTCAGACGAAACGTTATAGAAATATATTTGTGTTAGTGTGCATCAAGACTTTTGAATCACTAGGATAGTTATCTCCACTCTTACTACAGCATCCTTGCATTGAGTGCATATGGATTCACCGACACAAAAGCATAAAAGTTAAGTAGTTAGTCTGCAGAAACCAAATCATTTAAATAGCATCATTTGAACTGTTAATTTATTCCTTTGCTTGAATTTTGTCATTCTTTTATTTTTGACTTTGAAGTCTGGAATCTTCAAGTTTTTGAATTTGTACAATTTACTCACAATATTTTATTGAAGCAGTAAATTGCGTTTTCTGCATGTTATAGCCCTGAAACCCGGGCTTCGTCGTGTCTGAATTCTATGGACATTCCTATTATTTTGCATTCTGAAGAAAAATAAAGAAATTATGTTTTAAAATTCTTTCGCACACTATTTTAGGAATGCCCTTTCTTAAAGTAATAAGAAACTCATATTCATGTGATTTCAGTATAGTTTCAGCAGACTTAGGGCTCCTGGATTTTTTTCTTCCTATTATCGAATATTAACATGCATATTTAGGAAACATCCAATCTAAAATTTCAGGATAAATATTTATATCGACTAGTATTTAGTCTCTTCATCAGAACAGTTTAGGAACAACAGGATAGAGTATTGTGTTAAGAGAGGCAGATAAAGTTTATAGTAACTTCAGATATTTGAAATCACTCTTGCATTGCCTGTTGGAGGTGTTTTGATTGCTTCGGAAATTACTCAAGATGTCTTGTATTGAAACCGCAAGAAGAACTGACATTGTGGATTGTTTGATTCGTTATTTCTTTTCTATTTTCCTTTCCATTTTACACAATGTTGTTACGATTTATTTGTTTTAATATACGTTTTCTCTGTTACTGCAGTATCTCACCACTCTGAAAACATATGCGAAACCTGAAGATTTTATTCCGGAAAAGATTCGATGTTCATCATGGTTACAGATGGATGCAGGATGTCTCCTGCCCAAAACTCCTTAAGTTAATTTCTTGCAATAAAAAGGTGAGAGTGGTTGGTTATCTTTGTTACTATATTAAGCATCTCAATATTTTACATTTTTGTATATATACAGTATATTTTGTATCAGAAAATAGAAGTGTAGGGTATTTGGAAGTGGGCGCCCTTAGAATATAGCAGGGTGGTTGCCTGTATTTGATCTAATCAAACTTTTCTTCCATTTCGATAGAGCAGAATATAAAAAAAAACTCTCATAACATTAATCTTTTCTACACATCTTTGCCACTTATTTTTTTTCAGGTATATCTTCGATTTTCATATTCTGCAGTACCCGGTCTCCTCAACTTGCAGTAAGTACTGTTTAATACTGCAGTAGGTTCCGTTCTACAACAAACATGAACTGTTATTTTCGGCATCTCGGCTCCTTCCATGGGCTTCGCAGATGCAATTAATATTTTTTGTTTTATGCAGTACTTGGTGTATTGTAGGACTACTTGCTTAGTATATGTGTAACCTTAACGAATTGATGGAAAGTGTTTGTGAAGATCAATTCTGCACCAGAATATTGTCAAGAAACTGGATGATTCCTTCCGACCTAAATCAAAGTTTTGTGCATACGATTTGTTCCTGTGAATGATGCTCAATTATTGTCGAGTTCGTGAGAATATCCTTGTCTAGAATATCTCATTTTCTGCAAATTTGGAAGTTTAGAAGATCCAAGATTTTTTTGATCTTCAGCCAGTTTTATTTTTTCAGCTTTGTATTTATGTTTCCGTCACTGCTTGGCCCCTTTTCTGTATTCCATTTTTCACTTGGGACACTCACTGCAAGCAAAAATGCTTTTGATGGCATATTATTACTTTTTTTAATAAATACATTTGCGTAACTTTGTCTGCATTTTGTTATCAAACTTGGATCTCCTTACATTTCGTCCAGATTTAGAAATGCAAGGCCGTCAAGGAATAATTTTTATGTCGATATAAGGTTTTGATATTTATTCATACCCTTCTCTTTTTTTCTCCCTGTCAATGTCTAGAACAGGGCTCTTCAAACTGGGGTTCCACTTTAGTTAGGGAATAGGACTGCACGACACAATCGACGACAGTTTTACCAGTTCACAAAATGTAGCGTCGCCGTTCTACGCGTATAAACTAAGTATCTATCACATTCTCATAAATTTTAGTGGTGTTTGGTATCGATGCAAGAATCTCTAGTGGTAGATAATACAATACTAACTGAAACAAAATAATGAACGCGGAACCGGCTGATTTGTTTTATTCAACTGATTTTTGAAAGTAAATGCAACTCATTGAAAATGCCAAGTAATATTATTGAAACTTTGATATTGGGCCCATACTCGTGGTTATTGCATTTTTAAAATTGCATGTAGAATGTTTGAAATCATCACATCATAACCATAGATCTTTTAGAAAGCCAATTTCATATTTTAGTAAGAAGGAGTATTTTCACCCCAGCAGTAAAGTTAACTACAACTAAGATAATACTAAATCTACTCGCTGGATTTTTCAACAATCCAACAAATGGGAAAATTGGGTCATTTCCTTGATAAATTATTTAATTTTGATCCCTTGCTACTCTGTTGATATTTTACTACTCAGAATATGCTAGACATGAGTCTGCAAAAAACAAACATGTGTGTAATCATGGCTGCGTTCTTCCGGCACTTCAGATGTGTGTGTGTATGTGTGGGGATATTTGCTCTTGAACAATTTATATGTGCAGTAAAGTAACAGACTTTATGTGGCAAAATTTGGGGAGTACACGAACAATCTAAAAATAGAATAGAAAATTTGGAAAACCTTGTTTTATACGTTGTGAAATGACAATACTGCAATTTTGTCAATATTTAAACGGGGAACGCAACAATAAAGATTTAGTGTGAGATGATTTCTTGTACATGTATATATATGAGTTTTATTTCACGATGAAGAAATGTAGACGCGATGGAAATACAAGCAAAATAATATCAAGTAATGCCTTCAAATGATTTCACACCCGGAATCTGTGATGATAATATTATTCACTCTTTCCCTTTTTTTGCGTCGGCAGAACGCTTCAATTTATCTTATTCTTCTTATGTTTACATTAGCACACGGTCAAAATAACTAGGGGTGAGCAATATCAAATATTTTTATCGAATATTTTGAATATTTTTCACGAATAAAAATAGTTCATTCCACAATTAATTTAAAGTAAAAAAGCTGGAGGTTGATATCTCATTCGAACATAAATGTAAGACCGTGAAAGTTTCCTGATTTTGTTATAATAGCTGATTGTTGTAGACAGCGTGATTATTTCCGGGGTCCCAAGTAGGTAAACTCTCTCTTCAATAATGTGTTTCACTTGCGTTTTGTGAAAGACCTTCATCTGTTTCGCGTCAAATTGCCGTTTCAAATTTGTTGATTGCCATCCATGAGTGCTTATTTGTATACTGAATGTAGGAGGGTGCATAGGCCCAAGAGTGAAAACATTAGTGAATTTAGATATGTAAGTGGGTGCAAATTACGTTGATGCAAATATCCGTGGCTTTGAATGTCTTGGGTGCAAATGTCTGTGGATGTAAATGGACGTACGTGCAGATGTACGTAGTTGTAAAGATATGTAGTAATAAAAAAATTTACCTTGTAGAAGAATTTAACAATGAATTCAGGAATAAACTGCTCCTGACAAAGAGAAAATAAAATTTCATTAAAAGTCGCAAATTACCTGAGCTTCAAGTCCGCACTTGATCGTCGTTTCAGGACTCAATTAAATTTAAAGTTTTGTCGAATGTTACAAATTTATCACCCTGTCGTGCTTCAAATTCAAGATTTATGAACAACTTGATATCAACGTTTTTATAAGAGTATACTATAACTTGGAATGATCGACATATACCTCAATGAATTTTCGTTAATAACGTCATATTATTCAAAGCGAATGAATTGAATAAAAACTGACGTTGTATACTTTCCGCGTATTGTTTGCATTCTAATCTATGGGATCGAAATTTCTTCAAACAAAAAACAAACAACTTAACTTGCTAAGGCATACGATAGTGAATATGTACGCATTTCCGTTATCTTTTTATATTATAGAATTAAAAATGGAAGCAGGAATTTTGCACTATGGAAGGAATTTTTCTTGAGTGAGGTATTATGTGTTTCTTCAGGCATGAAATATTGCTTGATATTTTGAGTAGCTTTAATAATAATGTTCAGTTATTCAATATTTTTGTAATACAATTTCATGTACACAATATAACATAGAATACCCTAACTGTTCCAAATTGAGAGTGTATCTTGTGCACAACACTTGCTAAAGATCCATTGAATATTCAATAAATAAAGCTAGTAAATTGAATATAAACTGACATTTTATCCTTTCCGTCTATTAGCGCATGAAGCATGATTGCCACCAGGTATATTCATGTCAAAGATAAATAAAGCACAACCGGTGTATAGCAAAACGAAATAATTTGCCGACGTTTCGAATTTCTATTCAGAAAAACTTCATCAGGGCATGATATGAAGAGTACACTATCGTATATATATAGAGTAGAAAAATAAAAATAAAAAAAGATAGTAAAAATTAAACGGCGTGAAAACTGAAAAAAGGGACAATATGATAATAGATCCGGGTGAATAAGCGCAAGTTCAAACAATTACGCGACTATCTAAACAATGATTTATATACATGCGGGAACAATGCAGTATCTTTAATAGCCTTTTTCTGTAGTGAATTTCATGTTCCAATATCCTGCTGTTATCCCAATCAATGCTGTGATCAGTAGAAAGGGCATGTTTCGAAAGGGCCGATTTTTCAAATTTCTTTTGTTTTACATCACGCTGATGTTCTTTTCTTCCAGTTTCTAAACTTCGTTTCGTTTCTCCAATGTGAATAGAGCAACAATCAACGCATGGGATTGCATATACCACGCCGTTTTTCTTGTTGGGGCATGGGCGGTCTTTGACATTAGAAAGTAGTTGGCCAATTGTGTTTTGGGGTTTAAAACTAACTTTAATCCTTACATCTTCTAAAATTCTTCGAATTTTCTCGCCGAGTCCTTTAACATATGGAGTTGACGTGATCGGTTTCAGTTCTTCTTTCGTATCTTGACGGTTGTTCTGATTACTAAACATTTTCTTTGGGTATCCATTTTGTCTTAGGGTCTTTTTAATGAAGTTTATTTCCAGCTTTTGTTTTCTTTCATCGGATATTAGAGATTTGGCGCGATTAATAAGGCTACTAATAACGGAACGTTTATGTCCTACCGGGTGATTAGAATTAAAATTCAGATAACGATTTGTATGTGTCTTTTTCCTAAATATATCGGTCGTTAATTTTCCATATTCCTCTTTATGTATTTGTACATCTAAGAAGGCGATAGTCCTATTCAGTTCTTTTTCTATAGTAAATTGTATACTGGGTTCAATCGTGTTTAGGTGGTCATGAAACGCATCGCAGAATTCTTCTTTGATAATGTTGAAGGTATCGTCAACATACCGTTCCCAAATTCTGGGGCTATTAGGGAAGGACGTTAAGGCTCTTTCTTCAACGTCCTCCATAACCATATTGGCTACCACAACCGAAACGGGCGATCCCATGGCTGTTCCGAAAATTTGTTGATAGTGTTCCCCTCTAAAACTTAAATTGGCTGCGCTTAAACAAATTGTTAGTGCTTCGCAAATTTGGTCGATAGAAAGTTTAGTCCTCTCCTTAAGTGTGATTCATTTTCTAAACGTTTCCGGGTTACTCTTAGCGCCAGGTCTATCCGGACATTGGTAAAAAGTGAAGCGACGTCGAAGGATACCATAATTTCATCTGGGGCAATCTTTCCGTCTATTGTTTGTCTTATAATCTATAGGATCCAAATTTCTCAAAACAAATACCAAACAATTTTATTATGGCGTTCACTGCTGAATGCGGACGCATTTACTGTTAAGTCATATTTGAATATTATAGCATTAGAAAAGAAGACAGAAATGTATGGGGAGGCGTTTCCTAACACGAGAAAATCTTTTTCCAAGAGAGGAATTTCATTATTTTAGTGAAGAAGGGTTGCTTGGTATTTTGTGGAGTTTCTCTAATATTGTTGCGTTACTTAGTATCACTGTAATACATTTTCATGTACACAATATAACATATCATATTCAAACTGTGCCATTGTGAGAGTCTTAGGATAACACACGCATAACATTCAATGAATAAAGTAATTTTTATACATAGCGAGAAAGGAATAAAGAGTTTTAATATAAGCGAAAGAAGGAATTCATTAAAAAAAGTTGAGTATTGCAAGTTTAGGTTTAAAATATTTCCCACACCTGGTTACTGGACTTTATTGAACAAAACATTATTTTATTTAAAAATAGTCGTTGTCGCGATACTTTTAATAATTAATTTGGACTTGTTTTGGTTTTACAGATCAAGTTTTCTTGGTGTTAAAATCCCAATTAATTTGGATATATTGTTGGAATGCAGAAGGAGACGAGACGAAGCGCCTTTATATAATTTTAGAGTTCATTCAATTATTTTGTATATTGTAATTTCGAGTTTATATCATTGTTCAAATTTTTTTGTCGCCTTATTTAAAGTAGGAAGAAATAAATACCATACCGTCATTCAAATTCGCAACACAGTTTTTTATTAAAAAATTATTTTTGCAACTGCTAAAACTCAAATGTTGGAAGCAACAAAATATCTACCTGCATTTGAAGACGCTACCCCCTCGTTGAAAACTCGAAAGCTGTCACACATACTGAAGAGGGCTTATTACTAGTGAGTTTGATCAAAAGATGGATGGTTTCGAATTCCATCTCGTACTATAACTTTTAATGGTGATTTTCGATAAAACCTTTAAAGTATCTGCAATTTAATGTTTGTTTCAGTGTTTGGGTTTAAATACAATAAACTTGAGCGGCCATGTCGAGTGTTTAACCTGTTATATTTGGTCATTAGTCATTTAAAACTTATTCAATAAGCTCTGCCAACGCCATATCCCAAGTGAAAATACATTATTTCAGAGAAACAGGAATTTGACGGATTATATTGCAGAACAGTATGTGACAATAGCGCTTTAGGTCCATCTAGGTCCCAAAAAAGTGTCGGATCGCAATATGATCATAGATGATAGCTGGGCTAAAGTTTAAAAATTAGCTTTTTGAAGCCAACCTTGGGGAACTGTTAATTTTAAACTGGTATTTATATTCATTTATATGTTCAAAAAAAAACTATTCTGCATTTTGATATTTTCTTGTTATAGGAAGCGTTGTATTACAATAGACTGCATTTCAACTAACCAAGAATATATCGGAACTAATTACACACAATGACTGGTTATGTTTAAGTTATTTATATTTGTGCATAAGTCCTCCAAACATAGTCCAGGTTTTATTTTACAATTACTACCTCCATGATTTCTAGCCGAAGTTTATTCCGAGGTAAAATTATTGCCTTGAAATCCTCGATAAAAACCTAATGCAAATTTTAGAATGGCATTGATTGGTAAGTGGAAAAATTCTGAATCTTATTCATCCAATGTTGCAATTGTTTATAAAATTTATTATGACTGTGTTCGAAACATCAATCGGGGTGGATTGTGACTAGGAATGCAATGGCTCAACTCAGCTTATGATTTGAACTTTTAACCTTTGTGTTACTAGAATGGCCCGTTGTCTGTCTTGATTCTATTATCACTGCGTCTACTATATTAAATCCGTATTAGTTCACTCGTACTTTTTCATCTTCGGACATTCGCATCCACACATTGATATTGAACTCGCACTCATGAACATCACCCATGGTTACATTTATATCTGCAAATGTTTGCGCACTTGGCACTTATTTGTGCCATGAATATATGTGTTTCAGACAAAGTTTCGTCTCTTTATTTATTCATGATTGACCTTTGGTTAGTTTTGGAACATTGTGATTGTTTGAACCGGTCTGTAATATAAACAAAGCTATGGAATGGCCGTCGCTTGATGACGAATGATATTAAAGGTTCATTTGATTCAGATTTATTCAAGAATCACATTGCTCAAAAACAAAACCAGGTGAACCATATTTTGAAAAAATTAAAAAAGTGAAACAAAATGTTGTGAGAATCACATAAAATCTTAGGTAAAAATGACTGTGGATGGAACTGCCCATGGGTGGAAATATTTAATTATGCAAATGCTCATGGGTGCAAAGTCCGTGGGTACAGATGCGTGTTGGTGCAAATTTACGTGGATGTAAATATCCGTGGGTGCAGGTGTCCTGTCTACAAATCTACGTAGATGGAAATTGTACGTTGGGTCATATTGAATGGGGGTGTAATATGTACACGAGTACAATATGTACAGTGGCGCAAATGTAAATGGGTGAGGGTACAAATTTCGTGACTGCAACTAAACGTGGGTGCAAATGCCCATCAGTGCAAATGAACGTAGGTGCAGCTGTAAATAAGTTTGATTGTAAATCGATTTGATCCTGAACTTTGACTTAGAATACTTTGTTATGACAGGAATCATCGCTCACAAAATTTGAATAATTTTTTTTCTATTGAATTCAGCGGTACACGGAATTTAAAAACCAATGGTATGATAAATCCTATTGTGAATATTTGATTGAAACAGTAATCACCATTGACAAAATTCTGTGAAACCATTGCAATAAATAATATTGTTGTCTGTGGTTTTGGGGTTTTGAGAGAATTTGCATGTATAATTTTCTATTGAATCCAAGGGCACGTGCGTATAACAAACACGCGGTATCAGATTTCCGCATCTATGTAGTGTCATGCAGCTGCTAGCGAGTTGTTAGTTTTAATACGTCAAAAAGTATACGGTACAGGTTTCATTACCACATTGGCAGAGTTTACCTAAACGCAACATTGAATTAACGAAATCTAGTAGCTTACTTATGACGGTCGTGAATGAAAAAAGCAGTGATTTTTTTTAATAAGATACTGTAACACATAAATTTTTACCAAAAATATTTTTGTTCTGCGCTTTACAGGCGTTCATAGCAAAAACGTCCATTAGTAAAAATAAAATTGAATAAAGACTCGCCGAGTCCTATAAATAATTGCGTCCTGTCTGAGTCCATACCAAACAAATATGGACCGATCTGGATGGCATAGCTGATACTTGACAGCGCTAAGACCTGACTCACGATTCGGATATTCAAGTCTTGTACCTAGCTAACGCTATTATAAATTTTCCCCTGTTATAAATATGGACGTAAGACCAACTTTTAAGACGATCCAATAATGCTTAACGAGTTAGTTCCGAGCTTTTTACGCCGTGCAATCGTCTTTTTGTACCACAGAATATATTCGTCACGGTTTTGCTACATTAAGGTAAAGTTGAGTTTAATGTAAAGTTCTTTTCTTTATTTTAGTGTTTTCAGTCCTGTATCAGATAAAAAGCAAGAATTCATTAGTGTGGTCCAAAATTAGTAGTATACGGCTAAGCAAGTACTTGTTTAACCAATCTCTGAAGTCCGGCTTTGTTTCGAATAGAGTCAATCGGGGTGGATTGTGACTAGGAATGCAATGGCTCAACTCAGCTTATGATTTGAACTTTTAACCTTTGTGTTACTAGAATGGCCCGTTGTTCGTCTTGATTCTATTACCACTGCGTCTACGTATATTAAATCCGTATTAGTTCACTCGTACTTTTTCATCCTCGGACATTCGCAGTCACACATTGATATTGAACTCGCACTCATGAACATCACCCATGGTTACATTTATATCTGCAAATGTTTGCGCACTTGGCACTTATTTGTGCCATGAATATATGTGTTTCAGACAAAGTTTCGTCTCTTTATTTATTCATGATTGACCTTTGGTTAGTTTTGGAACATTGTGATTGTTTGAACCGGTCTGTAATATAAACAAAGCTATGGAATGGCCGTCGCTTGATGACGAATGATATTAAAGGTTCGTTTGATTCAGATTTATTCAAGTATCACATTGCTCAAAAACAAAACCAGGTGAACCATATTTTGAAAAAATTAAAAAAGTGAAACAAAATGTTGTGAGAATCACATAAAATCTTAGGTAAAAATGACTGTGGATGGAACTGTCCATGGGTGGAAATATTTAATTATGCAAATGCTCATGGGTGCAAAGTCCGTGGGTACAGATGCGTGTTGGTGCAAATTTACGGGGATGTAAATATCCGTGGGTGCAGGTGTCCTGTCTACAAGTTGATGTCATATTGAATGGGGGTGTAATATGTACACGAGTACAATATGTACAGTGGCGCAAATGTAAATGGGTGAGGGTACAAATTTCGTGACTGCAACTAAACGTGGGTGCAAATGCCCATCAGTGCAAATGAACGTAGGTGCAGCTGTAAATAAGTTTGATTGTAAATCGATTTGATCCTGAACTTTGACTTAGAATACTTTGTTATGACAGGAATCATCGCTCACAAAATTTTAATAATTTTTTTTTCTATTGAATTCAGCGGTACACGGAATTTAAAAACCAATGGTATGATAAATCCTATTGTGAATATTTGATTGAAACAGTAATCACCATTGACAAAATTCTGTGAAACCATTGCAATAAATAATATTG